CAAGTAATGTCTACTACTAAAAGCCCCAACATACCACTGATTTATACTAACTTGGAAGCAATAAATCTAATTGCACCTGCTGTCTCTCACCCCATCCTTAGTTTCGAGATTATTTTATTTTATTTTTTACTTAACTATAGTTCTTTTACACCTACTCAATGATAGTTCATCTTGTTAGAGTTGGCCCATAACTCCAACCTGAAATGATTCATTTGGACCCTAATTACGCTCCTCAAAATATATGCTATGTTCCAAGCTTCATGCCAACCACCACTTTGATAAATATGTAATCCGTATCCTTACTAAAATTACTGATTCAAAAGTACTTAAATAGGGCCAGCGGTGGGTCCCTCAGAGCCTACCATTAGAGACCAACCTTCCAGGGGCCACTGTAGGTGTCCCGCAGCTTCACTCATGCTTGTTCCCAGACCCAGGCTAAATTGGACAGTGAATTCACTCTTTCAGACATGTATTCTGATACAATGAGTTTTGAAGAATGCGAAATCATTAATTTATAAAGTATTTGCAGTTACAATTGTTAAATAGACTCTAAAGGAAGTAATAGCTTTATTAAAAAAAAATAACCCTCTGGAGACAAAGGCCAGATGTAGAGTATGATTTAAGAATAGAAAATCATTTTCTTTCCTGTCCAATAGGATGACAAATCTGGGGATGCCAAAGGGATGACACCTGAGCCCTGGATGTGGACACGTACAAATGCAACTGCGCTAAGGGAAACAGGTGATCAGTGATAAGAGAACACAAGAAGACTGACAGCATTATTTCTCTACTGCTGCATAACAAGTTACCACAAACTTAGCAGCTTAAAACAACCAAATTTATTGTCTTACAGTTCCATGGGTCAGTCTTGTAGGTCAGATTAGTTCAGCTCTTTGCTCAGGATCTCACCAGGCTAAAATCACAGTGTGGGCCAGGGCTGCAAACTCACCTGAGGCTTGGGGTCTTCTAAGCTCACTGGTTGTTGGTGAAATTCAGTTCTTTGCACTGCAGCTCTGGGGCCTGTGGTTTTTTGTTTTTTTGTTTTTTGTTTTTTTTTGCTGGCTGTTAGCAGGGGGCTGCTGTCTGCTTCCAAAGGCTCCCTGCCACCCCGTTCCTTGGGGCTGTTTCCACAACCTGGCAGTTTGCTTCGTCAAGAACAGCAGGAGAATCTCTCTCTCTCTCTCTCTCTCTCTCTCTCTCTCTCTCTTCTTTCTGCTAAGATGGAGTGTTAGATACAGCAGTGAAGAGAGTGACAATTCCATTATACTCACAGGCGCTGTCTACAGTGAAGAGAGGGGAGTACACGGGGTGTGCACAGCAGGGGCGGGGACCTGAGGGGCCATCATAGACTTCCGCCAGCCACAACGGTTAATATAGCAGGGCACAGTGAGAGTAGTAGGAGAGGGGCCTGCTGTGGAGTTTGAACTTTACCTTGAAAGAAATGGAGGCACACCGACAAATGCCTCTCCCTTTGGGGAGCTATAAGAAACTGCTGCAAGTAGCAGAGGTTAAGAACATATTCTGGAAGCATTGCACCCCAAGGGAATATTATTGAATGAACCGAGGCAGTGAATAATAAAACACAGTCTAATCCATTTCTACATTTGAATCACCTGTTTATAATGTATCACCTCACTTGCCTACTTGACAACTATACCTGGCCTGCTGCTGTTATGATCAGGTGTGCCCTCCACATCCTAGACAGAAAACAAAAATACTCTGCATCATTAGAGAAGCCTCTCCAAATGGAAACATCCTATCTAACATTATTCCTCCCAATAATAAGTCTTGAGCCCCATTCCTTAAGTTGCTAGCTCCCTCTTAAACCCTCCCCCTCTCCCCAAAGAAAAGAAACACAGGAAACACTTCCATCTCTGACTTTTGGAATACAGACATCAGCAGGTATGTGAGGACCTACACAGATGGGTAGCATGTGAGAAAAGGCTGTTTCTCTGCCAATGACAATGGTGAACATATTAACTGTAATTCCATGGCCCTTTTTTCCCCTCCCTTTAAATACATGCTATATCTTTCATTTCAAGTATCTGCTTTTTCTTAAGGCTGAATACCCTTCCAAAGATTACACATAAAAGTACTCTAATGTTTAATTTGTCTTTAAGTTTTCCATTCACAGCTATGTCTATACACCGTAACCAGGAGAACAACCGTAATGTTTATTCTTAAATACAGTAATGACAATAACTACAAGGTGTGTTCTATATGCCAGGCAATGTTCTCAGAGCTTCCTATCCTCACACTCAGATGAAGAAGCTATGACAAAGAAAGCTGAAGGAACTCGTTGGAGATCACACAGGTTGTCAGTGGTGAAGCTGGGATGTGAACCTGGGCAGAACAGTCTGCAACGTGTCAGCCTCAGAGTGAAAACAGACACTAACTACTCTCTTTACGGTGGCCTTTGAGACACTTCATAAATGACAGCTGACCACCAATGGTTTGTTTTAAGGTGGCAGACTCAAAAGTGTAAAAAACAAAGATTTAAATGCTAGGAGATTAAGTGAGCAGCACAGAAACAGTCGGATAAAGAAATCCAAAAAGTAGTTCTTAAAAGAAGTTAAATAAACCCCAGAATTACAAAATAAATCAAGAAAAAGACAGAGAAACACAGAACTAAAAATCTTAGAAATTATGTAAGAAAATACTGTGTTCAACCTATGTTTAGTATTTTAAAAATATTACAAAATGGCAATTTTTAGATATACATGTATTACCAAAATTGACGCAGAAGTAGACACACAGACTACACCAAATGAATAAAAACTAACAACAACAAATAGAGAAAAATCTTAAGATGTTGTAAAGGCATTGTCTGGCTCAGAAAATAATCTAAGCATAGAAAATTCCACTGGAAACTTCTTTCAAATTCTCAAAGAAAATATATAACTTCCATATGCACAAAGCACAGAAAGATAAAAACTTCCCAATCGTTATATGAAATAAACATCATTTTGATGTCAAAACTAACAAGACAGCATAAAAATCCAACCAAAGGCCAGATCATTATGAAAACTGATGCAATAATCTGAAACAAATATTAAATACAGCAGTGAGTTGAGAAAACATTTCATCATGACCAAGTAGGATTTACTCCAAGAATAAAATATGATTAAATATTAGGAAATCTGCTACACCACTTTAATAGATCAAAGGCAAAAATTACACAATAATTAAAAAAATATGATCCTCTGTTTCAAGCCTGGTGAAATGTAAACAATTCTCATTGGATACTCATAATAGCCTTGCAAGATACTTATATTATTATCCTCATAGGACAGTGTAAGAAACGGACATTGGAGGGTGACGCCCCCCCCCCCCGTTACAGGCGGGCAATTCTAAGAGGAGCGGGGTGCTTTGAGCCCAGGTCTGCTGGCCACAAACCCTATACTCTGACTTTCATTACATGTGATCCTTGTAGGTGACAATCTATCAAAATAATCGAAAATCATCTAATCACATTTCAAAACCTTTCTTTGATTAGAAAACTACCCCTGCCATATTTGAAATGCAATAAGATTTCTTTAACATAGTTGGAAACACCTATCATAGCTGTTAACATTAGAAACAAGGTAAGACTAGGATACCGCTAAGTTAAGTATAACATTGCTATAGAAATTCTGGCTAATGCTATAAAACATAATTTTGAAATAAGAGGTATGCTCTTTGACAAGCAATAGAATCATTATCTGTTATAATACGATTTTTTACTAAGAAAATTCAGGAGAGCTAGGTGAAAATGATTATCATTAATAAAAAGAGTCAAAAACAATATAACAATAGCTTTCATATGACAGCAATCACCAATTAGAAAGCAATGTAATTAAATCAAAACTATATAATACCTAGGAATAACCTTAAAATATGCAGGACTTGTATGAAGAAATAATTTTTCTGTCACCTTGAATAAGACTTGAAAAAGCAGACGCATACTATGGAATAATTAAACATTGTGAAGATGCAAACTCTTCTAAAATAATTCATGGTTTATACATAATACCATGCAGAATACATCAGGATTTTTTAATTTAAAAATTAATTCCATCATTCATCTTGAAGTATGTTCAGATGATAATGCTAAAGTACATTTAAAATACAGAGCAAGGAAGGGCTTGCCATCTTAGAAATGAAAATGTGCTAAACACAATACAATATGGGTCTACTATACAATCAACAGATGGTTGAAGAAATGGCTTAGAGAGCCCAGGTTCCAAAACATATATACCAATATAATTAAAGATAGATTTAATTAAAATAAAATGAAGGAAAAAGGGATTATTCAATAAATTGTGGTGGAGTAACTAATTGAATAACTAAAAATTATATCTCTACCTCACAGAGTATGTCAAACTAAATTACATATGGATTACATATTAAATTAAAAAATAAAATTATACAGGATTATAAACAATATAAATGATTATTTACTAGATATTGTGCCAAGCAAAGAATTTCCAATCACAAACATAGTGGAATATATCAGAAAGTAGTAACAGATTTGACTGCAGTAATAAACATGAAAAAATTCATATATCAGCACAATACTCAAAATTAAAAGGCAAACACCAGACTAGGAAAATAATTTCCAAAGATATGACATACAAAGGATCTTTAATAGACAGTTCATAAGCAAAATATTAACATAATGGATGAATAGGCAAAGAATATGCATCAACAAATTACAAGAGAATTGTTATAAATGAATGTCCGATAAGCATTCAAAAACAATTTTAAATGATTACTGCTTAAAGCTGCTGAGTGTGAGGAAAGACAGACACTTTCATACACTGCCAGTAGGAGTGTAAATTAATACCTTGGGCCATGTCTAAGAAGAACTATAAAAATGTTCATGCCTTTTGAGTGTACCTACTGTTAGGTAAAAGCAATTAAGAAGATGGCAAAAGATGCCCTGGCTTGTGTGGCTCAGGTGGTTGGAGCACAATCTTGTAACCAAAAGAGCACATAACTTTCCCATTCAGGGCACATACCTAGGTGGTGGGTTCAATCCCCAGTCCGGGAGCATACAATCCCTGGTCTGGGCGCCTATGGGAGGCAACCAATTGATGCTTCTCTCTTGCATCGATGGATGTTTATCTCCCTTGCTCTCTCCCTTCCTCTCTCTCTAAAAACAAAGAAAAAATGGCCTTGGGTGAGGATTAAAATAATAAATAAATGAATAAATAAATAAATAAATAAATAAATAAATTTAAAGAAAAGAAGATGGCAAACAAGAAGCTGGACACTCTGAACCTTCGAAGGAGATGAAGAAGTCTGCCTTTTGAGCCCCTCTAATGTTGCACCATCTCGGGGAAATGGTGGAGGGGGAGTCTCATAATCCACTTCGGCGTCTGAAAGGGATCATCGCAGAAGCCATCTCTCCATCAGTTCCGAGTAATTCTGTCTCTGCTGCTTCCACTCTGACCTCTTCCTGCTCAGCCCCACTCTGCCAACCTCTGCTCTCCTCCCACTCAAAGCCTGGCCACAACAAAACAACCCCAACATAGGAAGCAGGTCTGCAGGGAGGTCAGCATGCTGAGTGATTACTGAGGGAATGATGGGTTTCTACAGAGGTGCCTTCTGCATCTGCTAAATTATCATTTCATAACACTATCCACATTGGAAAGACCTTTCTCAAAAATCTTATACTCCTGAAGACTCCTGCAAAGCCCTACTGCAATGATGATGTCAGCAGTCCATTTCTCCTTCACTTGCATAATTCAGGAAGTTTTACTAAAACCATTAATCCATTTTCTTAATGATATTCAGCAAATATTTACTGGGTGCCCTCTAGGGTTCTGGGAAATATAATGTGGGTGGGAGGCTGAATAAAATGGTTCCCAGAGATGTCCACATCCTAATCCTGGAACCTGTGAGCATGTTCCATTTTGTGGCAAAAGGGACTTTTACAGATATGATTAAGGTAAGGATCTTGGGATGCAGAGCTTATCCTGCCTTATCTGGGTGGGTTCAGTAAAATCACAGGGTTCCTTGCAAGGGAAAGACTCAGGAGAGTCAAGAGGAGGATATGTAACAACAGAAGCAAAGGTCAGAGTGAGACAGGGCCGCAAGCCAAGGAATGTGGGCAGCCTCCAGGAGCTGGAAAAGGCAACGGAACAGAGTCTCCCCTGGTCTCCAGAAGAACAAAACTTGGCTGGCCTGTTTTAAACTTCTGATTTCCAAAACTATAAGATAATAAATTTGTGCTGTTTAAGCTACTAAATTGGTAATTTCTTACAGCAGCAATAGCAAATAAATACAGTATGATTCAATGAAACCTAGAGCTTCCCTGCATGTAGCCTTACTAAACATTTGTCACTTTTAAAGCATGTCTTATTTTATGCCAGAATTTCCCAGTGTGTTACACTGAATCCAAGCCCTATGAGTTATTCCATGATTTTACAGAGTTCTTTCATCAAATATCTTGTATCAATCGCCCTCTTGGAGATTCACAATGTACTTTCGCAATTTAAAGACTTCATAGTCTCCTTTTTTCTCTTTGTTTAATTCAGAACTTTCCAAACTTGTTTGTCAATAGGAGCTTTCAAACATCTACTTACATCAATATCATTAACAACAACAAATATTTATTGCTTTGCATACTTGCAAAGTGTCCAACCCTAGGCTGGGTCCTGAGGAAACAGGGAGGAACCCATTCTTTAAACTACTTAAAAAGTTTAAAGACACTTTGATGAACTCTATTAATTCCCAGTACACTTGACACATACTGTGTTTTTAGTTATCCTCACAGGTGGTTTTTAATTTTACCCAACAAGAAGTTAAGTTCCCAGAGACTGGGCATATTTCTTTACAAGCCTATCTTCTGCAGCATCTTTCCTCAGGGAGCTAACATTCTAGTGGATAAGACATGCATACAGTCAGAAGAAAAAAATATTTTGGGGAGGAAGGTGGAAGATTTTTGTTATCTAATTTGACAAATAGATAAATGTTGAGAGGATAAACTGTCCCAGACTGTCTTAGTAAAGGGTCCATTGATTATATCATCTAAAAGAGCTTCCTGAATCACATGAACTTTTCAAGTATTCAAGAAGTAGTCATATTTCAGGTAACACAGCACACGCAGTTGGCATCTCCTGCTCCATTGCCATGGTCTCTTCCTCCCTCTACCATTTTCCTCTCCTGATCTTAATGAAAGCCTGAGGTCTTCATGAAGGTATTTTTTTGACTTACAAAACAGTGTAGTGATACAGCTGGATCTTTTGGGTAATCACTGCATCAAGTAATAATATTATAGAGTATTAATTACACTCTTATTTTTCCCAAAGGGAGGAATAAATAATAGTTCAACATATACCACATTCTAGCCTACCCGTGAATGGCTGATACTATTATTTCTCTTGCAAAGTATTGTTTACAACTTTCTAATCTCCCCTGATAACAGGGGACACATTATGCAAATATTGCCTCTGTTTTTATAAGAAATCAAGTAATTTTAAACCAATGGTAGATGAAAACTTTTGGGCAATATAAATTTTACTTACATAATTGACAAGCATAGCTTCCCCTTTCCAATAGCTTTTCAACGCAAATCAATGGAAGTTCAAAGAAGTACACACTTATTTTTAAACTCAATTAGGAAAAAATCTGAAGCATTTAATGAATGCTATAAATTAGAATACATTACCATGAGAAAACAACCGTCAGCTCTTTTTATGTGTTATTGAATATTCTATACAATTCACCATTCTGTAACAATTAACTAGGTTCAGTCATAAAAATTCAACTTCTGAACTTAAAAAAATCTCAACAACTCAGACAGGTCTAAGTGAACCTGCAGTAAATTTGGAGACCTTTCTTGTGCCACACCCTTCTTTGTAGTAAATGGGAGGGTCTGATTTGAGAGGGAATGCATTTCGTTTTATCTTGTCCTGTTAACGTATTAAATCTAAGTTCAATGACAAGATGTCAGTTTTTCATTATATAACCATTAAGACACAGGGATATTTTCACTCTTTCTACTTTATTGCTACTTATCTTGTGTCTAACCAGTGACACTAGGACCTTCTTTAGAATGAATGATGGTGGTCACCTTTAATATAAATTTAAATATTCTACACCGAAACAAAAAAAGCCTAAGAAATATGTCCTAGAGTGTCTGATCGCTTCTGTGCTTAGAATTTGTGAGTGCTCTGCAAATGGGAAGGTATATGGAAAGAAGGATACATATTTCAGTGTCCACCTAAATGGTATAGGATTTTGAAATATAGAGAGACAAGTAGTTGCTTCTTGCTGCCTAGCAAGATTGCCACAGGTTTCGAGGAGAAAGTATTTGTCATCAAAACAAATTCATTCAGTAAAGGACAGGTCCCAGAGACAGAGCCACAGGGGAAACTACTTCTGCCTGCTTGTTGGGTGAAGTTTCACGGAAGAGTAGTAGTATCAGCTTGAAGAGTATCGATCTAGTAAATCATTCAGACAGCCCAAAGAGGACAGAAATAGGTCAGAGTCAAGGTGGATTAGACAGGTATCTTTCAGTGACGAGAAACAGAACCCCAATTTGCAAAAGCTAATCAGAAAAGGAGCTTTAATGGAAGGATCCCGAGGCATTCTCAGACTCTGAGGAAGAGCTGTGAGAGCCAGGGTGCTCAACTTGGCTGAGATGCCCACAAGGTCTCCATCTTTCATCCCTGCTTGTCCCTGCTTCCGCCTCTTTTCCTGAGGCAAATGTGTTTTCCGTAAATATGGCCAATTACAGCATGCCTCCTTCCAGCTCTGGTGATGTCACTGGGGAATGCCCACTATCCACCGAGTCGTGGCTAATCGTGCGGACCAACAGATCTTTGCTGTCACGACATCAGTTAACTGTGCTTTTCTTGCAGTGCTTCTCAAGGTGCTTTTGAGTTTAATCAAACAAGTGATCATAAAACTATGTTGACTTCTACTGCGCAGCTTTTCTGTTTTAGAGTATTAAAGGCATTTATAATGTACCATGATTAGAACCATGTAATAAAAATATGTGTAAGCAAAAAAGACTGGAGGGAAAGACACTAAAATCCTAAGTTATGTTTGGGAAGTGCAATCTTAAGTGATTTTTCTAATGTCCATTCTCTAAATGTTTTATAATGTAAGTATTTTAATAATGAAAGTTTTTACTTGTATATTTAAAATTACATTTACTTTTTGGAACAGCCTAAAAAGTGTCTAATTCTGAGAAGTGACTAATGTAACTTGTATTTTGGTGATGAAAATATCAATTTTTAAATATACTTCCTTGATATAAGGAAATATAAAATATGACATTTCTTATATATAATAAAATATAGAACTGCTATTAATCGTGAATGTCTTCAGACCTTGAGAATTTAAGGAAAATCAAGTAGATACTATCATAATCTACCTTCAGTGATTATCAACAAAAACAGAGTTAACCTAATTACTATAAAAATGCCTTACATATCTGAAATAATCAGCACAATCATACATAAACATGAGTCAGGGTTCAAAATGCTGTTGTAAAACTTTTTTAAAAATTGTGCATTAGTTGAATATTACCCAGCCTTAAGAAAAGAAGGAAATTCTGACATATGCAACCAAATGCATGAGCCTTGACGACATTATGCAAAGTGAAATAAGCCAGTCACAAAAAAACAAATGCTATGATTCCACTTCTATGGGTAATTACAGTAGTCTAATCATACAGACAGAAAGAAGAATGTTGGTCTTCAGGGTTTTTCCAGGAGGGGAAAGGTGGAGTTATTGTTTAATGGGCACCGAGTTTCAGTTTTGCAAGAAGAGTCCTGGAGATGGATGGTGGTGACGGTTGCACAACAGTGTGAACATACTTAATACCACTGAACGGCACTTAAAGGGGGTTAAGGTAGCAAAAAAAAAAATCATTAGAAAAACTGTGATAGCTTAACTCTAAGGAAGGCTTACTGCCAAAAGAGATTAAACAATGACGTTTACAATGTTGATAATATTAAGATCGCCTTACGTAACTATACAAACAATTTTTCAGGGACAATTGCTATCAATGAAGAAAGCTAAAGTACAGACATCAGCAAGCCGTTTTCTGGTTTGTTCCAGCAGATGGAGAAGCAGCCTTCAACTACGGGGGTTTCGATGAACATAGACTCGTTTACCTCCCATCTTGCCAGGGCCACA